TCTATTGAAGTATTTAATCTTACAAAAAGAATTATTAATATAAAAAACAAGCAAAAAGTTACATTTGACAATATTTACACTAAACAAGAAAATAAAGACCGAGCTTATACACGATACCTGAAAGAAATATTATTTGAAGAATTAAACAACATATTCAACGAACAAATACCTAAAATAACAAAAGAATATATAACCAAAATAGATACAATATACTACAATGTACTAATACAAGAAACGCAATATCTATCCTGGAACCACGGATTAGAAGCACATAACCGTTACGATATAAACTCAGAAGAAAATCATAGATTCTATACATTCCGGCTACTAGAAGGAATACCACCATTTCACGACCTTTAAAAATGGAAAAACATCAAAATATAATCCAACCTGGAAGAACTATTAAATTTGCACAAATAGCAATATTTGACTGGAATATCCAAGGAATACCGATAATATATTTATCCCAAAGGATAAATCCTGGCAAAAAGTATTACTCCTGATATAACCTACCCGGAGGAAAACAAAATAATCCTGATGAAATGTTTGAAGAAATAATAATACGAGAAACCCTTGAAGAAACTGGAATATTACTTTACCAAGAAAAACTACTAGAAGTAGGCTATAACTGCTATCCACCTGGACACCCACAAGGATGGAATGATAAAGTAACTGCAGAAATAAAAACATATGTACACCCTTCATTCAACCAAATTGCAATGCGAATGGAACTAGAAACCCATTCCGACTGGAATTATTTTACCAAAGCAGAAATAATTAATAATATAATACCAACACCAGAGTTACAAGTACAGCTTAATAGCATATTTTATTCAATAGAAAACTATGACATGCTAATGCGACTAAAGCATGACAAAGAAAAAGAATTAGACTCAGAAGACGAATCACAATTCGAAGAACTGAACCTACCAACATTAACATATGAAGAAGTAGACCTTTTAATACATAAACAATACGAAGCAATAAAACCAAAAGATATTTATCAACTAAAAAATTATAAAAAAGAATTTGTAAAAGAAGTATCCAAACTTAACAATATCAAACATAGAGTAGAACAAAAGATTAGAAATTATTCTAAAAGAAGATATACTATAATATTCGACAAACTACAACAACCTTCAATAGCAGCAACATTAGGACCTATACCAACGCTAAAACAATTATTTAACACACCTTTAGCGTACGACAAAATAAAATTTCAAACATTCAGATTTAGAATCGTACAAGATGAAAATTCTATTAACCAAATATTCGGCGTAATCAAAGTGCGACCATTAACAAACTCAAAATATATTTGCCAAGCAACAATAGAAGATTTAGTCACAATGTACCCAAATTATGTACTAATGTAACTAAATAATTTGAAAATCAATTTTACCAAATCTAATAAAAACCCGGTGATACAAATCCGACCACATCAAACTATGTTTGAGCCTTCGTGGACTTCCCCTGCAGCACCCACAGAATTTGTCACTATCACGTGACTATGGTTACACAAGCACTATAGGGAAGTCTATCATGACGATCATAGTAATAATGACAAATAAGTAATAATTGATAAATGTAAAGCATAAATGAAAATACCCAATGGGAGTTCGAATAATTTTCCTTTTACCTCCTTTCTTGAGTAAAATTTATACATAAGAACTATAGTCGTTTTACTTTGTGAAGTGTCGTGTGCTAATAAGAAAGTTGAATTGGCGTGTGGAAAGTTGGAAAGTTAGACTGGAGTTTGAAAGGTGGCGTGTGTAGAGAGGAGGTGTTGATGTAGGAGTGAGTGGGCGAGAGAAGATAAAACGAACAAAGTAAGTCGAAATAATGAATAATGAACCTTTAAATGGACTTTTATGACATTTATTAATCTAATATTACTGTATTGTGTCAAATCTTCTTATTTTATTTGGCTTGGATAATTAAATATCTTACGTTTGATTTTTTTTGAAAACTTTTAAATAGAATTAATTGGGAGATTATTACCGTATTGGAATTTTTTTTTTTGGACATTTTAGTAAGTATTAAAACTGAGCACCGAATTTTTTGATTTATTGGAAAAATTTTTAGTCTATTTTTATATCTAATCAAATGTTTTGTTTTATTAGAAAAAACCAACAATTATTTTAGATCAAACTTCGTGCCTTTATAGGCTTCAAATTTATATATTTTAAGTGTTTAAGCAATAGAAATGGACGTTGAATCGCAGGTTTTGTATTGTACCGGGTGTAACAAATACAAAAACAGGGTTGTATTTATAGGTCATGATAAAAAAGAAGAATCTAAATTGTTTCAAACTTGTAATTCATGTCGTGGCTCAAATAAATCCGCCCAACAACAAAAACGTAAAAAAGAACTTGAAGATCGGGATCAAGATATTACGTATGAGCATGTAGAAATTGATAACTTAGTTGAAAATGTAGGTTATGCTCTTAATGAGCATCATGATTCATTAAATAAGGAGAATACTTCGGCATTTTGTTTTGGATGCATCACAGATATTGGATCATTAGAAATGCCATTAAAACAAATTGCCGATTTTTTAATTGATCATATTGAAGACGCGGATAATTATAAATGGGTGTATGTATAATATCTATATATATATATATATATATTCTTTTTACTAAGCTATTTTATATTATAAAAGTTATAAACAGGTGTATGAGGGTAGAAACACAACAACGTATCATTATTTTTGTTCACAGCGAACTAATTTATTCCAACAAACACGATGTCGAAAAGATCCAGATATTTTAAAACATCGAGATACCAAATCTATTGAGCGATATGACTGTAATGGAATGATAAGAATATCTATTAATCGCACAACATTAATGGCAACAATTTACATAAGACATAGTTTATTACACCCATATTCAAAAGATGTTTTAGTATCTGACGAAATTAAACAGTTTATCATGAATAATATAGATCTTTTGCCTCGTGAAATTTATGCACGGTTAGTAGAAAATGGGCTAGATTTATCAATTAGCTCAAAACAAATTCATACCTGGTGGGTAACGTTAGGACAGGGTCGATATAAACGACATGATGATTCTTTTATATCAGCAGTCGAATACTTAAAAAGTGAAAATCACAAAATTATCCTCCATCAACAATTCCCTGTTCGTGCAATTGCATTTATGACTGGAATTTATGATAAGCTTCAAGAATCAAATATAAAAGTCTATGAATGCGGCATTGATGCCACTTGTAAGTAATTTTAATAATATTTAATTTTATACTTTCAAAGGTATCTTACCCTGATCATTCTAATCTTCTTGGTTACAATTAAAATAATTTTTTCTAATTATAACCGAGGAGATTAAAATGGTTAAAATTAGTTTAATCTTATTATTAGTTTATTAATTTTAATTTTTTAAAAATTTAATAGATAAAACTAATGAACTTGGTTTTGAATTGTATACTTTTCATGCAGAGGTTGAGGGGACGGGATATCCTCTTGCATATTTACTTTTAGAGAATAATGGAAACTGCAAAAATGGAATTCGAACTAGTATTATTCAAGCTTTTTTTGCTCAGATGCATAATATTGGAATTGTTTCTAATTTTTTATTAACCAATAAAGACTTTTCACAAATAAGTGCTACTTCTTTTATATGGCCAGAAACTAAAATTCAAATCTGTAAATGGCATATTAAAAAGGCACTTATGGAAAGATTGCATAGTAATAAATCTTCAAGACATTCTTCCTTTAATCCGTTATCACCTGAAGGCAAACGATTTCCATTTAATAATATTACACCATCACAAACTTTTTGTCCAAAAGAATTTCGGGATACTGTATGGAATTTAATAGAAAAGCATTTACACCAACATCCATATATTCCAACAGCAAATGGTCAATTTTTTACTGCAATAGAAATTTATGAGTTTGCAATTTAGAAAGCTTATGAGTTTTGTAAAAAAAATTCATTAGTAGCACTTTGGTGCTACTTGTGGTGTGAATGGTACAATAATAAAAGATGGCCTCTTTGGGCTCAATCAGCTTGTGCAAACAAAATTTCAATTCTTAAAACCACGATGTTTGTTGAGGGGCACTGGAAAGTAATTAAAAGAGATTTTTTATATAAGTTTTTTAGACCAAGGTTAGATCTTTTGGTATTTATTTTGACAACAAAAGTAATTGTTTATCAAATACGCAAGTTTCAGCAAATTCAAATCAGACGTGAAAAATTAGACTGGAAAAAGCAATTAAAGTCTCAATGGAAGAGATTAGAAGGACATGAAATTAATAGTGAATATTTTACTGATGTAAATCAATGGATTTGTGGATGTTCTTTTTATTTGCTTAATCAGTTTTCTATTTGTAAGCATTTAATACAACAAAAAGGAGCAGTTTCGCCTGATTTTTTTGATAAAGTGCAGAAGAATCATCAGCCACCTTTTTTATATGAAATTGAACAAAATTTAACTCAAAATAATTCAAATAATTTGATTAATTATTTGAATGATTTAACAAATACAAACCAGCTTGATTTCGAATTAGAAAATGACTGTAATGCTATTTACAATCAATTAATAATTTCAACAAAAAAAGCTCTTGAATTACTTGAAGAACAGAAGATAGCAGGTAATTTTAGGTGGGGACAAAGTGTAGCTAAAAATTTCAATCCAATTATCAAAATGGTGAGTAATGTAGAATCATATAAAAGAAGAAGAGTAATGCTATTAATGCAAAAAGATCATAATCATAATACTCTTTTTTTAAAATAATTTGGTTTATTGTCTTTAATTTACTTTTAATTTACTTTTAATTTGCTTGTAATTTGCTTTTAATTTGCTTTTAATTTGCTTACATTTGCATTATTAATAAATAAATACTATTAAATTGTTTTAAGCTTTCAACAGATTTTGAAGAATTACTATCGTTGAATATAAACTTTCTACTGTAGCGAAGATACCTAATTTTTTTAAGTTATTTAATATTTTTTAAATTATTTCGTAAAATATTTTAAAACTTTCTAATAGAAGATTTGTATATAGACTTAAGAGGTACATAAGAAATAAAATAATTAAAAGTTTTTGATTTAGCATTTTTTCTTTAAAGTTTAAAAAAAATAATTTGTTAAATTAATTTTTTTATAAATTATTTAATATTAGAAAGTTAAAAAATTATATTTTAAATCACCCGCTATTATACATATATGTATAAATTCATCTATAATAATTTAGTAGCAAGTGAAAAAATAAAGTGTTTAAAATTTTTTTATTTGATATTTTTGTTTCTTGAAATTTCAAGAGAAAGTTTTTTCTAAAATATTTTCCAATTGTTCTCTTAGCATAATGAGAAAAGTATATATTATAGTTTTTTTGAAGGGAATTTACATATAAGAGCCCAGAAAGTAAAAATAATTACAAATATGGGTCCAAATTAAAAATAATTACATATAAGGGCCTAATTTTTAAAAAATATTACATATAAGAACCCAAATCTATTGATGGTTGAAAAAAATGTGATCGTGAAATTACACACTACAAAGTGCTATGACTATTTAAATTATATTGATTGCAAAAATCGTGATTATAAGATTATCGATTGTTTTATTATAGGTATTTAGATTATCTATACACCTATTATTAGATTTAAGAATAAATGAAATGCTGTTTATAATTATTTTCGCTTAACTACTATATAAAAAATAGCGTTAAACTACACAAATATTTATAAAGTGAAGAAGTTTCAACTGAGTAGCTCTTTAGAGCTGAACGAACAACTTCCATATTAGTAAATATCACCAATTCGCAGTGCTTTAACGTTATGATAGTTTGTTATAATAATAAGTAATTTTATACAAAGAAAATTAAATTTATTAAAATTCTTTTCTTACTAATTTACAATCAATAAGTTACATTTTTTATGTGCTTAATAACTACATTTATCAATGCTTACATTTTTTATTTCACAGGCTTGAATAACATCGCAGTTATTTTGGGCCCTTATATGTAATATTGTTTAAAAATTAGGCCCTTATATGTAATTATTTTTAATTTGGGCCTGTATTTGTAATTATTTTCACTTTCCGGGCCCTTATTTGCAAATTCTTCTTTTTTTTATAGCAATAAATAATCACTAGTAAAATGAATATTGTAAAATTTAAGCACAAATTTTACTATGAATTAAATTTTTTTTGGATATAAACTTGTATTTTTGTAAAGTTATAAAGATAAAATAATAATTATTTAACCTAGCCAAGATAAAAAAAATTTTGCGTAAGTATTTAGGATCGATATTTTACGCATTTAATACAGAATATATTTTTTAACTTAAAAAAAATTAGATCATCTTGTGTAACCATAGTCACGTGGTAGTGACAAATTCTGTGGGTGCTGCAGGGGAAGGCTAATTTTTATTCCCGTGATCACAGTTAAACATACGTATCTGCACATATTGCAGTATTGTAAGATACATGCTTACAATTATAACGACTAATGCTTTAATACATCCGTACTATAGTATCTACAAATTCAAAAACTATAATTTTCATCGTAGCTTACTATAGCACGGACGTCTTGATGTAAAATCGTCAGAGCACGAAATTTCTTGATCGTGTTACGTTACACCTTATATTGAAAGTTGAAATCTGATTCATAAACTGATTTAGACTTTTGGTAACGTTTCACATTTGTTCTGGATTTTCTATATAAAAACTCCACGTACCGCAAATGTTCATAATTAAAATTGATCATTTTTTTCAATATGAAATTACCAAATGAATACTATTATATAATCTTTAATAACCTCCGAAATAATTATAAAGACTTATTTTCATGTGCACTTGTAAACCGTCATTGGTGTAGAATTATTATACCAGCGAACCAAATAACTATTTTAAAGATAAAAGATATTACTTTTGACGTTAAATTCAGAAGAGAAAGCACTTTTAACACCTTTTAAAATCACTATTCCAAGTCAACCAAAACCTTTATTTGAATATACAAGTTTTATCAGATCGGTTAGCAGTTTTTATTTATATAAAGGAATTACAAATTGGCTTCTTTATAAAAAATATAGAACAGGATGTAAGCTTGAAAATGCCGTTAGAAGTTCTTTGATTGCAATGTTTATACGAACTTGTAAAAAACTTAAATATTTAAGTCTTAATGAAATTATTTGCAATCGAATAATATTTGAAAATCTTTATAAGAATACTACAATTACTTCTATTTATTTATACGATATTAATAGTAATATTAAATCTAAGGCAATAGATGCATTAGTAAATATCCTTAGTAAAAATTTTACTTTGACATCTTTAAATCTTATGGATTGTCAACTTGGTATTGAGGAAGGAAGGGTATTAGCAATTCTTCTTTCCAAGAACACCACTCTAACTTGTTTGAATCTTCGATATAATTATCTTGGATCAGAAGGAGGAAAAGCATTAGCAGATGCACTTTACAGGAATACCACGCTAACTTCTTTGGATCTTCATTGGACTAATCTTATGTCCGAAGGAGGAAAAGCATTAGCAGATGCACTTTGCGAAAACACTACATTGACTTTTTTGCATCTTGGTCATAATTATATTGGGCCAGAAGGAGCAAAAGCATTTGCAGATGCACTTTGCAGGAATACCACGTTAAATTATTTGAATCTTATTTATAATGATATTGGACCAGAAGGGGGGAAAGCATTAGCGAATGCAATGTGCAAGAACAACACATTGACATTTTTAAATGTTGCACAAAATAAGTTGGGATCGGAAGGAGGAAAAGCATTAGCGGATGTACTTTGCAAAAATGTTACGCTGACTTCATTGGATCTTAGTTGGAATAATCTTGGATCAGATGTAGGACATGTGTTAGCAGATGCACTGCGCAGGAATAACACACTGACTTCTTTGGACCTTAATACTAATAATCTTGGATCAGAAGGAGCAGAAGCATTAGCAGATGTACTGTGCAAGAATGACGCACTCACTTCTTTGGATCTTCATAATAATAAACTTGGATCAAAAGGAGTAAAAGCATTAGCGGATGCACTGTGCAGGAACGTCACACTAATTTCTTTGAATCTTAAGTGGAATCATATTGGATCAGAAGGGAGAAAAACATTAGCACTTTGTAAGAATATCAAGTTGACTTTTTGATTAGAAAGAAAAAAGTATTAGAAATGCATTTTGCAAAAATATCATTCTGGTTTGTATGAAAATTTTTATTAAAAGAAAACAACATTATACCAATTTATTCGAATAGTATATTAAATATAAGTACGAAAAGCATTGGCAGATATACCTTACAAAAACATTACACAGATTCTTAATCTTTATCAGAATGATCTTAGATCAGAAAGAAAAGAATTAGCAGATGCATTTTACAAAACACCATACTGATTTCTTTGAATTAAAGAAAAGTATTAGCTAATTTACTTTGCAGAAACACTAACTTTTTTAAACGTTAGAAAAAATAATCTTGAAAAAAGTATTTGTAGATTTACTTTGTAAGAATACTTAATTTTTTAAATCATCAATTTGACAGTATTGATTTTGATTTTAGTTATAATGAACATTACAAATAAAATTAAATACAGTATCTGGTACATAGTACAATAATTTACATTTTGCCAGATGTTATCCTGTTGTTTGGTGTTACGCAAAAAGACGTAACAAAGTAACAATTAAACTTTTTATGCATGTAACCTTATAATAGTCTATGCGAAGTAACGCATACTTTAATTAGATTTTATGTTGTTATACTACATGTATATAGCTTATTTGTAGTCTAATAGTATATATATATAGCTAAGTCGGTTAGTTGAATAGATATTTGTTATTGTTAGTGTCTGGGACACAATAGAGAGTTATTGGTTTAGTACTTTATGGTAATAAAGAATTGGTATCTCATACGTATTAATACTTACGACCTTAAGCTAAATTGGCTCAGCCGATACAAAGTCTCTCCCCTGGTCGTAATATTGGATAAAGCCAATCTGATTTGTGGTTTTACATTATATTCTTTTCTTATGAACCTAGCCCTTTTCTCTCATAAATAAATAAATCAATAAATAATATTATATATATGTTGTGAGATCGGAATTGAGGATTTTAGTGTTAGGATGTGGGTTCATATAAAATGAATTCTACCTTAAAATCATAATTAAGAAATTCCAAATCCACTTAAATTCTGTTTCCACTCACAACAAATCTAGCAGTTATACATTGTGGGAGCAACTTAACTATTTTTTAATGACACCTTTGTACTGATCAACAGCATTCAAATAAATGAATTGCATTTTCTTCCATTATTAGTTGGTGATTAAACTTCAGTGTTTTTGTTTTTAAGAATTCTTCAGAAAATAGTTCAATCATCAAAACAGCCAAAGCATAAGACTTTGTGCAATTAAACGAACCCTCAAAAGTTTCTATCTCTCATATCATGTCTACCACCCGTTGCGGACACTTCAATAACTTGGATGCAAAAAATTGCAAGAATGACGATTAATAAAAATTGAATGAAAAATTCAAAAACGTTATTGCTTTCATTTTCTCACCCAAAAATTAAGTGAATTCTAAATTATTTTATCGAGTATATTACTTTGGAATTTAAGTCACTTTAAGGTTATTTATCAACGTGTCCATCGTAAATTAAGTTTTTACATTTTTTGATCATAAGTTGATGATTAACACGCATTTTTGCAATTATATACTTTTGAAGATTGCATTGTAAATGATTCTCGAACACTTGAAAGCGTTAAACGAATACTATCCAATTCTGAAAATTCGTGAGGACCTAATAAGCACAGGTAGGGTTGAATCAATTTAATAAGCTGGATTATAGTTTCAATATCATATATAGCAAATGTATTTTTTGTTAATAACGAACCTTTTTCATTTTCAATTACTGTATTTGCCGGATCTTGTAAAACTTTAATACAAAAATTAAAGTCTTCGCATGTAATTAGATTTACGTCATCTATTAGCCGATTTTCTGCTAATTAATTTGGATAGCAATTCATTAAATGTATTACAGAATGAAATGTGTTAAAAAAAATGAAAAGTGAAAAAAATAATTTGCATTTAAGTAATTTGACAACTTTATAACGATAAGGTGCTAACTATCGTTATGTCAATCAATTACACATTTATTACAGTACCGGTATCAAATTTAAAATCAACCAAAGATCTTGTATCAATTTGAATCACATTTGGAATTCCTTTTCAATCTAAGTAGATATTAAATAAATAGAAGGTGTACCGACATAGACACGAACACGTAAAAATACGTTGCACTAATTGTAATCAGATCACGTATCGGTATCTATTTAGGCAAGCCGTAAATTGATAATGAAGAAAACATATGTATATTCTTCTGACAAATATTTTAATAAGCCACAAGTGGACAAGAATTTAAATAATAAGCCTATCCTTTTAATTATAAATACAACTTGTGCTGTTAAATTATCATTTTGGTTTCATTTTTATAATGCCTAATATTATTAATTATCGCAATGAAATTAAATTACATCGGTTTAGGTTTTGTTATAATTGCTTTAAGTGTTTGCCTAACAACTGCATCGCCTATCGACTTTAAAAGAGGGTATATAGTTAATTTGATTTATTGTTTTATAATAGTTTATTTTTAAACATTTAGCATGAAATTTATCATTTGATGATTTAATAACATATAACGTATTTTTCTTTTTAAATATTAGAGAGTATGTATTTATTGTTTTTGTTACTAAATATTGTTTTATAATAGTTTAATTTTAATGAAATTATCATTTGATGAATTAATAACATATAACGCATTTTTCTTTTTTAATTATTAGAGAGTATGTATTTATTGTTTTGTTACTAAAATTTGATGATACTCAAATTGATTTATAACTTTAATGCGCATTTAACGTTTCTTTTGTTGACTTATTAGACTGTATGTATTAATTTAAAATTCTATGATACTAAATTGTTATTTGTGACTTTAATGCACATTTTAACGTTTTCTTTTGTTGAATCATTAGAACGTACGTGTTAATTGTTTTTGTTAATGGAATTTGATGATACTCAAATTGTTATCTACAATTTACTGCACAGTTTAACTTGTTTTTTTGTTAAATTATTAGATGGTAAGCACAAATTTACTGTAATCGTTTATCAACTATTATTGAATTACTAGCATGTAAGTATAAGTTTTATATTTATTTTTAAAATTGTGTATACAATATTGGCAAAATTTGTCGAATAACGGTAATTTGGTAAACCGGGGCAAATGAACATGTGTCGCTTCGCGGCACGTCTGCCAATGATTTGCTCGGTTGAACCAAATTATCGTATTCGACAAAATTGTCGACTGAGTTTTAATTTGAATACATCGTAACACATGAAAAAAATAACAAGACAGATGGCAATTCATGATCATAAGAGTTTGCCGGATAATATTTGATTATTTTTTTAAAATATACATCTGACAATTTTTTTAACAAATACTTTTATCAAATTATTAGCGGATATGCATAAACTTTATTATATTTGTTTTTAAAACTTTTATATGGTTTTAAATTATGCTATTAAACTTTATAATGTACATTTTCTTTTATTGAATTATTAGCGAGTAGTATAAGCTTTAGAAAATAAAAAATCAAAAAAAAATATGAATCAATTATCTTAAGAGGCAATAAAAAACCATATAAATAATGTTTTAATGTACAATAACAATTAATTAATGCCAAACGAATTTAGCCATAATTCTAAATTAATAATCTTAGCGTAACACTATCTGCTATGCTTTAATAATTTTAGACGTAACACTATATTTTAACTTCTCATAAAGTTCGCGCAATCTCATGCTTTCATTTCTTCATGTCACTAATTACGTATTTACTAGCAGTACGTGTCTGTCTTTTGAAAAATAAATAAAATAGAAACTTTTTGAAATGACTTGTATCAATACATTGTAGATTACTATTCGTTAAATTGAAACGCCTAAGCATACCTCTCATCTAACTTCTGAATTACCTTGCGGATTACCGAATTACTTTGATAGTTTGTAGAATAGATCATATACATACTGTCTAAGTTTTTTTGTGGCACTTGTGACAGCATATCGTTACTTTAATAAGACTTTATTATGTAAAGTGATCTGCAAAAATCAGCCAATCATAATAAAGCCGCTATCTATATTATTAAGGCATCTAAATCGAATAATTGTAGCTCTCGATTTTCGAGTTTGTAGAAATATGGAAGATGTTACAATATATTGTTATATCCTAGGCACTCCTATTAAGAGTGCCCGTCCGATTGACCTTGGCGAAAAAATGCAAGTTGATGGTCGTGATATAAATCTTGAAGCATTTACATTTGGGCATCTCAAAAAACTGAGATGGCCCAATAACGATAAAGCCCACGATCTAAAACTATGGAAATTTGAAACCCCTATGGACGTAGACAATGAGGAGTTGAAAACACTTAACGAGAATTTTCGTGCAAACATTAATAATGTACAAAAACTTGGCGAGGATTTGTATCCATATATAAGATTTTTGAGGTTTTTCAACCTGGATATATCTTTAAGTCTGGATATATCCACATCATCGTGGAGCCTCCCGCAACTACTAGTAAGTGTCTCTCAATGGCTAATCTTTCGCACAAAAAATTTTAGGCAACATAATATCAAGTTTGGTCTGATATC